GACATTTTTGACAGTGACGGAGTTCAACCCTCTATAGTCAATGCAAAAACGCAACTCACCTTCCTTTTTAGGCACAAACAAGACAAAAGCGCCATAAGGAGAGAAGCTAGGGCAAATTCATCCTTTCTCAGTTAAGTCCTGGAGTTATTTCCTCAATTCCTCAAGATCCCTAGGAGACATTCTATAAATAGGGCCCTTGGGAGTCTTACTGCCAGGAATAATCTCAATGGTGTGCTTTATGGCACGCTTAGTTGTTCCTGTTGATTCAATTAATAGATCTTTTTATACTCGTCTAGGAGTTTTTCAATCGAAGGTGGATAGGAAGTAGAGGACTCGTCAACTTGCTTTACTAGGACCATCATTACGTCATGTTCCAGTTTCTTCTTTGAAACCATCGAACGAAAGGTTGGGTAACTCATGCAACAAAAAAACAAACTTGAGTTAGAGCCAGACTTATGATACAATTTGATGGTTTTCAATTCTGATTGCGCGTCCCGCAATTGCACAACCTTATCTTTGAACTTGATATCTGGGTTGGCTTCCTCGTGCCAATCCATACCCACAATCATGTCAAATGGTAATTTCTTCTCAACAAGAAAAAAAAATTCATGCATGATATTTTTTCCGTCCCTAATACGAAAGCGTCATTTCACACGATCGGCATATTGTGAGACAGTGATCGTGCTTTTGTCTGTCAGGATAGACGTGATAGGTTGAGACAAGTTCTTTACCTTCATTCTGAGATGCAATTTGCAGATTGCCTTCTCGGAAATGTAGGATCGCGTAGATCCTGAGTCTAGCAGTGCACCTACACGTGTGTGTGCAATCTCTACATCCGCGAGTAGGAGTTCACCCTTAGACTTTGCTTTCTAAGCCCACGAGCTTCGTAGTGCTAGCAACTCGTTACCAAGCTCGGCAAGAGAGTCATCCAGAGCTTTCCTTTCACAATGTTGGTAACACTTCTCAATCCAACAGCAATCTCATCTAGCTGATTTTGTTGTCGTTCAATCTTCTCTTCAAGAAAAGAGAGGTAAGTCATAATGTGATAAAAAGTCTGTTTTGAGGAGGGGAAGAAGGAGGCGGAGCACTCGATTCCCCCCCGTTAGACGATTTCCCCTCTTTCGTCTTTTCAACAGACTTCATAGCATCACTCATTAATTTCTTCTCTTTCTTTTTTCCCTTATCTTCTTTTTCCTTAGTCTCTTCTTCTGTTACCGGAGTCTTTCCTAACTGCTGTTGTTTTTTTTTCTTGTATTTACAGGTTCTACACCAAGCCCGTGTGATCAGATCCAACACACCAGTAAGTACGCACACCACAAACAGCAATCAACAGGTAAGTATGCCAATAGCAAAAAAGAACAGTTCGTCAGGACACTATATCACTTTGTTGTGTCTTCAGTGTTAGTGCGATGATGCACTCTCCCGGACAACTGGCACCACAGCTGTATAATTACTTTGTCAGCTGTACCGCCGTAATCCTCCGTGTGCCCTCCCTGACTTAGCAGAGTCCTGCCTGACACGTGTCACCCCCGGAGTGCCAACACAGCAAGTCTTGCCACGTCAGCACATACTCCGTTCATATCAATAGTGAGGTGACACATCAGCAAGTGTGTTTCCTGATCCTCGTCAGCTTCCAAACTTCATATGAGACACAGTCACCAATTCAGCCAATCATATTCAATGCCCCGTGAGTCAAGAGTTCAGTGCCACGTCAGCAAACAGACACCACCTTAATCGACAGGTGTGATGTCTTGAGGTCTGCCACGTCAGCAATCAATCCCACTCAAGACCACGTTTGCATCAATAATGGACCCTGCCACAAACAGCAACTCCAAGAGTGTCACCAAAGCAATAGCAACAAGGTCCCTGGACGTGGCACGTCATATGCTACGTCAGCTCTGCGATCCAACTGTCATGTCAGCATCGCGATCCCTGGCTGAAGGGAGGTATCTCCCATTGTGATCCCTACCGCCACGTCAGCCTCTAGGTAGGGTATTCACTGCTTCAGTATCCCTGGTGTAGTCATCACGTCAGATCCACCTCATCATCCCCGGAGAGGTCTACTCGTCAATCTGTGCCACGTCAGATATCCCCGAAGATGTAATCTCGCCACATCATCACCTATAATATGTGTGCGCAACACACTTATCTATGCGCCACCTGGCGCTTATCAATACCGTGTTCACGAGAACAGCTCCGATACCAAATTGCAATGAACCCAGATCATGAATACGATTGTCCACAATGCAAGTCCAGAATATCTTGTCGCTGATAGTCAAATAGTATCCAGAAAGAAATGAGGTGAGATAATCATGCATAGACGAAGAGGAAGGAGGGAGAAAAGACAAGGGAGAGGAAATTATATTGCCCACTCCTGCTTCGGGCTCCTTCCTTGATCACCACCTCATAACCAATAATCTGAACACCTATCGAAGTCCTGCTACAATGTTCCACGTGGCACCCAATCAGTATCTTATCAGCGCTGGAGCAATGCCGACATGAAGACTCCAGGTACGTAATCACAACCTTCTCACAGTCCCGATCCCCTCCTGAAGTGACGATGAAACAGCATTGATATCTCCCTGAAGTGATGATGGAATAGAACAGCAATGCCGGTCACACACACCCGGCTAAGTCCTACGCAGCAGCAGCCACATCAATAGCAACACGTGGCAGCTGCCACGTCAGCAAGCCTTGTAGACAGTAGCCAGCCAGTCAGCGCACCAGCCAGCAGCGCGTTGCCATAATCTCGCCAATGCCAGCGTCATGCCAGCGTCGCAGCGTCAAGCCTGCGTCGCGTCGTCATGCATAGAGGAAGCGTCAACGCAAGACAGAAAGAATGAATGTCAAAGCCAGGAGAGTCAACCTTATGTAGTGTTGACTCGGGATCTGGACCCCGGCTGCTGCGAACTCCAGCCGTCCAGATCTTGTTGAAGATGAAGGCCTGGATTGATCTGAAACTGTAGTCCCCTCGGCCTGGATGCTTGTCTGGGTACCTGCGCACAACAAGTGAGTGTATCCATCCCAGGGCCTGGGTTCGGTACTTTTGACTGTACAGTTGACTTTGACTCTTGAATTTCCTGTGTGTAGTGTTCGGTCATACAGCCTCGCTCGACAGACTCAGGCCCGGGTGTGTCTTGGTCAGACAGCCCGGCGCAGACTAACTCAGGTCTGCGTTTCCAGGGGCCAGATTCTGGCCCCAGGCGTCTTCTGAACAGGGTTATTGCAATTATAATACATACGTGAAAAAAGACGACAAGGAAATAACACCCTGCTCAGGGGCATGACTAATCTGCTAACCAGTAAACAACAACCAGGCCACCGTTTCCGTGCATCCAGGCACGAATGTTGCGCCCGGACACACGCTGGGCTGCCTATTCGAGCACGAACCCCGGCGAGGTCCCAGGCAGCCCCAGCACAAAATTAAAAAAAAAATAGAAATATAAAAAATCCTGAGGAAAAAAAAATGTTGTATAGAATTGTGCAATGCAAACAACTTTTGGTTGAGGATCACACCAGAATTCCCAATTGAAATGGAGATTAAAAAAAAAAAGCACAGCAAGTAAAAAAGCAAACTATGGGGGCTCGCCGCACCAGTCTCCAAACTCCAACATTTTGAATGCATCTCGACCAGTGATTCATCCTGATACATTCAAAATGTTGTCGTTTGGCAAGTGGTGCCGCAAGCCCTAAGCCACCACCCGCGGACAACACTGGAAAACAAAAAGGAGCCCGGATTTGGGCTGGTTTGGGAGGGCGCAGAAAAGCCCCATTAGTGAAAAGGGGGGAAAATAAAAATCAAAAATCAAAAAACAAAAAAAAAGTGTGGCATTTTAATATGCCCAGGCTACTCTGGGCGAGCAGACAGTCAGGTGACCAGCCAGGCACGAACCGGCCGCGCAGCCCAGGTAACCCAGACGACAACTATGGTCACATACTTCATAGAATAATTCATTTTCCAAAGAAAAGTAAAAAGTTAAGTTATAACAAAAACTCGAAAAACTTGCAACGATCCAAAGTTACAACAAAAACTCAAAAGACTTGACATTGAGTCGAGAATGAATTCAGCAACCAAGGAAGGAGCTGGCATTGAATGTCCCGGTCCCTGCCTAGCTCGTCATGCCACAGCCACAGCATTCGCTGCTGCTACACCAGATTACTACATGCACATACAACGTCGAAGGGCGCGCACGTTCGCACTAGCGAAGCAGCTAAAATGGACGTGCACGAATAAGTCAGCAAACCGAGCCATTATTCAAATTCATTCCTGTCAGGCAAGTGGAGTCGCTTGACGTGTCTCTCTCTCTCTCTCTCTCTCTCTCTCTCTCTCTCT